AAGTGCCTTACTAGTAGTAACAAGAACGCTACTAGGGGCTCCTGGCCTTACTAGGAACAAGGACGCTACTAGGAGCTTACTCTACATAAAACTCCACGGTGCCGGATTGCCATTGCACCACTACAAATGCACGGTTTGCAGTCCGCTCCTATCAAGTAGACTGTCCGTCCACAATCGTTCAACGTTGCTCACAAAACCGCTTTCTTCCATTTCACCCTTATATTGCTCTTGTGGTTTCCCAAGGTGAAGACTGCAAAGCTCGGAGGTGAAGCTGCCTCAAGGCTCCACATCAAGCAAATCTGATGCATACAGAGAGAGAGAGAGAGGCAAGACGAGAGAGAGTGGGAGAGAGGAAATAGAAAGACACAGGTGGAAACAGTTGTGCGTGCTTGCATAGAAAAACTGCCATCACAGGTCAACCCTTCTAAGAGAAACTGGTGTCTACGCACGTCAATGAAATGAAGCTGCAAGTAATGAGGCCGCTGAAACACTGTTGCTGCTCCACTCGCGTCACTGTCCATGTCTTCCGCCATACTGAAATCAGAGACGCCCCGAAACCATCATCGAATACAACGTCCAAGTCTTCTATGGTGTCCTGTGAAATTCCTGGAAGATTGGCCACTCATCTGGAGGTGCTTTCTGGGCACTTTCCAGTCTCATTAGGCAGACGGTCTCAGGCTTAAATGGCTGACCGCTGCCGTCGACGATCAAGATCAAAATATCAACGTGTGTCCGAGAAGAGGGCTCGACCTCCAGGGTCTATCGGCAGAGACGAGCACAGTGGACAGGATATGGGAGCACAGGAAAGAAAGGGCAGTCGTGACAGAGTCGAGCGGCACTAAAAATTCATTGATGCTGTTCGCCATGGAAGACGAGGGCTGAAATTGCCCAGCACAATGATTCAAAAACACTCTGGGGACAATGAGTCAATGGGAACCATCCACAAGCATCAGCATCTTATAAGTTCTTGGCATGTGCTTTGTGCTCTTCGGACAAGCACGTGTATTCAGCGGACTTGGATCATTCATTGATTCATACGTCGTCTACTATTGAACGTTGCCAGATTTACCAAGCTGCTGTACCTGTTTGTTATGAACTCATGGATTGTTGGTGCGGTGTTCCTGCATTGACCCTCGCTTCGAACAAGGCTGAATGGGTCCAGCCCGCCAAAGTGTTTTATTTCAACGTGTTGTCTTTGAAAACTATAATATAAGGCATACGAGGCCAAGGCATGTGGGGCTGTAAGGTGCGATCCTAGCAGGAAGAATTGCGGAAAATCTCCCAAGCCCAGCACGCTGCAATTCGCGCAATGTGGCCACAGCCCATCGATACCTACTTTCAGCAAACAGTCTGAGCGGCTGGGGGAAGTGCTTGCAGAGTGAAATGCAAATGCGTCAAAATGCCTTTCCCTGCTCTTCAAGATTTCGAGGCTGCTTGCACGTACCATTCATCAGCAGCTTTGTCTGTGCGAAGAATCCGATGCAAAACTTTTTTGTACCTCCGCTACTGGCGAATCGTCACATTGATGTGCCACCACGACACAAAGGCAGGAGTGCAGGAACTGAGCCTGAGCCACGCTTGTAATTTGCGGAGGAAACACAGAAGTAAAGGGTACTGATTGACATTGCACCGCTGGAATCTCTGCCAAACTACATGCACATAACAGGGAAACATGATGAAACATGACGAGAAATCAAGGTGAAGTGGTTTCCAGCACTACCTATGCCGACTCAATCAGGCTTGGACTGAAAAGCGCGGGCAAGATTGCTTTCAATGCAGCAAGGGCAAAGGCAAGCAAGGACAACAAGCAGGCAAACAAGGAAAGCAAGGGGGGCAAGGTTTCCTCTTTTCCAGCAAAGCCGGGCGACTGGCCGTTTCCAGCCAACCGAAAGCCGGGCTGGCCATTTGGAGTTTCGGTCCTTCTTTCGAGAAAGAAATTACAAGATACCAAAGTTTTTTGGGGGGTAAGGCGGTGCGAGGTGAGGCTTACAAGTAGTAGTTTTGCTTGTTGCAGTAGGACAACTGTACCTGCATACATGTGCACATACATGCATATACACAGGGATCTTTCAGCAGTCCAGGCCAGGTTACATGCACGTGGCGGGACCCACGCAGGACAGTGCCAAGTGTCACTCTGGACCATGGACCAAGCTGCATTGGCCGTTTAACCTGACACCTAAAAAGCCTCTAGCAACGAAACGAACGAAAACCTGGAGAGAAACAAAAGAATCCTAGAAGGAGAAAAAGTAAGACCGTGCGTGAATTACTGAGTGTGAAACGTGTGAGTGAATACTTAGCACTTGACTAAAAATTAACATGAAACTGAAACATAAAAAGCCTCTAGCAACGAAAGAAAACGAAGAGGAACAGCAAGAGAGAAAGCAACGGCGAAATGAATACGTAGCAGCGTGGTATGACATTCTTTGTAGTGATATCAGTGTGCTCTGCAGCTTGATAGCAGCGATCTCGAACAAGCGGCTGCGCAGAAGGGAATCAAGCAAGACGATGAACCACTGACAATTCACCCTTGAGGGTCTATGCTCAACGTGCCCTGTAGGGATCACACAACAGACCTCAGTGCAACCCTGTTGCGGCACACACTTCGAACCATGCTCGCAAGAGCTGTATCCAACTTGGAACTCCAGTGCATTAGCCCTTTGGGTGAATACTTTGAGACAAACGGCTAAATGGTTTTCTTGTAGGTAAATGCAACTCGGCTAACATGGTCCTGCAGTGATGCGCGAGTAGCAGGCGGGACCAGAAGGTGGCTCCACCGTAAGGGCACGGAGGAACACGACTGTCCGTGCAGAAATCCTACACCAAATCACTTCCCACCTCATGATCTTCCACTTGATTGATGTCATTATGGCCGCGTTCACCAGCACGCTTCCACCTGGCATTGGTGTCTCCTTCGAAGGCCATGCAAATGGGTCTCATCAACACCGAAACTACCTCTCGCCACGCTACCCCATACACACTCCTCTGTCTTGAGCCTCTGGTCTTCACCAACACTTGGAATCTGAAGATGGGAAATTGGGCTCCTTCGAGGAGGCTTCGTGAAGGTAGCAATGGGCTTTAACCATCAGGTCGAACTCAACTTGCCGTATGCCGCCCACTCAGTGGACTGCCACTCCCTCAGCATGACTAAAGAGGCATTGTATGGTTGGATGGCAACCTGGGGGGTGCGGCGTCACTTCCGCCGGCCAAAAGAGCAAGACTCGGAAGCCATCGAGGTCGAGCCAGATCTCCTCCTGACTTCTCTGCTTCTCCTCCACTGCCTCTGCCTTTTCCTCTCAGCAGTGCCTCGGCCTGAATCTCCTCAACCTCGTCCCCATGGAACATTGGTGGTCATGAACCAGCAAAGTCTCCCACACCAAGCGGCCACATTGGGAGGGCACAGTCGCACCCTTGGGTGCGCTTGATATGCGCTTAATTCGACAATTCTCGGTCTCCCCGGTCTCCCCGCGCGCTTCGAAGCTCTACCACTTTGAGAGCTTCCGTGGATCCTCGGCCTCCAGCTCGGTCGCCCTTTTCGGCGCCCTGTCCTTCCAATAGTTCGGATGCTTGAAGTGCTTCTCTGCACTTATCTGTGGGCGCAGGCCCACTGATCGAACCACCAGGAGTGGTGCTTCTTCCCGCGCCTCTGCACTGGGCAGCGTCCTCGCTCGCTTCCTCCTCAGGCTCGCTCTCCTCCTCCGGCTCGCTTCCTCAGCCTCTGAAGGGGCCGCGGTGTTCTTCTTATGTGTTTTCGCCGGGCTCTCCTCCAGGCCATTGGACTTCTTCCTCTTCTCTTTTCTTGATCCTCACGCTCCTCCTCCACGTCCTTACGCTGTCCTGCAAGGGGCGTCCTCGCTCACGGACTACAAGCGTCCTTGGACGGCTCTGGAGCCTTCAGGCCCTGCCCCTGTCTGATCTACCCGGGGGCCCTGGAGATACGAGCTGGCCAAACAAGGTCAAAAGCCCCCTCTTGGATCAAGTATGCACTGTGACTGTCACCGCGAATTCCCGAAGGCCAGGAGTACTATAGCTCTGAGCCAGAACACTGCAGTTGAAAGTCTCTGGTACCTGTACTTCAGTGTGGGAGAAAGATTTGGATACTACACTTGACTGAGTTTCAATGAGTTTCAGGGTGTTCGCACCAGGTGTTAGCACTGCCCATCTTCGCATGTGATCCCACCTCAATTTCTGCTGGATATGAGAGATATGGGTTTGGGTAGCAACCTCTTGAACAGCAAATTTAGTGGGTTGACATAGAGGCACCACCAACCAAACCCATATGCAAGATATATGAAGGCTATTCTGGCATCTTAAAGAGCCGGCCATCAGCCCATCAGCCATTGGCTAGAGGCATGCATAGCTGAAGAGGCACAAGACAAAACTCTTTGGCCAAGAGGCTCTACGTCGATTCATTAAGAATTGTCATTCGACTTATGCACTGGTATAGTGCAGATGCATCATGCAAAGCATGTTATGTACTGCGTGCAGCCTCTCCAGAAGAAAGACATGCCAAGCTCAGAGGTTCGGCCACAGTGCAAGGTCTGGTGCTCCTGGAGTATCAAGGAAAGGGCTCTCTCAACTGACAAGGTTTCCAGTGCACGCAGATTGATAAGTTCATCTACATCTAGTTCCCGAACAAACGAGAGAATCATTCCAGGTGCAAATAAAGCTGCTGATACTCATTGGGGTCCTTAGTAGTCAGTTTGGGGGATCAAAAACACACGGGTGATGCTCAGGTAGTAGACTGTATCGCAGCTACTTTGTCAAGTTCAGCACCAGCATAGCATTTTCCTTTCAATTCAAACATGTTTGATGGGAAAGTGAAAAAAAGAAGCAATCGCCATAGTGACAACTGCAGCGATCTAATTCACCTGCCCCACGCACTGGCTTGGAATTCCCCAGGCAGCTTTCCAGGGTGGGTGTGATGAACAGTAACCAAAAATCGTCGGGTGACCAAACCAGAAAAGCATTGAGGCTTGAAAGGATGGCTGCGTGACTGTCCTGCTAAGACATTCACACAAAAGACAGTAAACAGTGGCCATTCTACATTCGAGCCAACAAAACCTAGACTTGACAGTGACACTGTACCAAGAAATGAACGTCAACTTCAAAACTATCTGGGCATGATAAAGGCGAGGTCTCGAATGTTCAAGTCAGCCAGAATCATCCTTTCCTCCAGATGCAGCATGGCTTTGCCATGTTGTCTGGCAGGACAGATCTACTGATCTAACCAGCGGATTCTTCGCTTGCGTCTCTGACGCAGAGTTTGGGTTTGGAGTCGTTGACCAGCTTTGAACACAACACAGAAGAAACACGTTTGTATACTTTTGTGTTTTTGGATCTCCAAATATCTATTCATCGCGTAGAAATGAGCGCACAGTTGCAATGAATGTGTTTCCTCTCTCTTCTGGTCTTGAGGCAAACTGTCCGGGTCTAGTCAGCTGGGTGCACTTCATTGTTCCAGCTCAAGAATCGACAGCAGCGCTTGTGGGGCGCCGCAGATTGGATCCTCAGGACAAAGAAATGCCAAGCAAGAACCAGGGCAACACAAGAATTGTTTATAATAGCAAAAACAATAATTTGCGAACATTGATCTGTTGCCTTAAGTTTGTCAAATATTGTCCTTTGGGGCATTCAATCTTAATGCAATTAACTTGGTGCCTCAATTGCACAAGCTGAGGGGGTCCAGCCACAGAAAACGAGAGAGAGAGAGAGAGAGAGACCGGTGTGTGTGTGTGTGGGAAAAATATGAGAGATGAACATGTATTTATTTTCAATAGCTTCTTTAGGAATGTTGGAAGGCAGGCGCTGTCGGGAAAAAAGCACAAAGCGCGGGCCAAGACTAGAGGGCTTGGAGTGGGATTGCATCTTGACAGAAAATGTTAAGAACCTTTCATTCAATTAAGAAGACTGCTCCCGTGTGAACATTCCAGTGTTCCCACCAGCAACCTCGGTTACTTGAGCATCACCAAAGTATTTTCTCAAGCAAATGCGGCTGCTTGTGGAACCGACCGTTTCGCGATAGCCCTTTGCTTCTGCACCTTCACCGGTCATTCTCAACAAATAACAATACTGCAGCCAGATGTGGGTTTGTATTTTAAGGTTCCCGGGCCGGGATGTTTGACTATGGGGTATGCTTCGGAGGTATGCTTCGGGGGTATGCTTCGGGGTATGCTTCGCGCAGTGTGAAGACTAAAGTAGTAGCATTTCGAGAGGGTATGCTTCAGGGTATGCTTCGGGGTATGCTTCGCCTAAGTCGAACATCCCAGCCCTACATAAACTGGACACCTTAAAAAAAGACAAGCCCATGTGAGACTTGGAAACTCCGGGATAAAATGTCATCACGTTGTTCAATGTCATGCCGCCTAGGCCCTTGCAACCCTCAGAAAACAATGTTTGGCATGACAGGCCATATGCAAAATATACAGAGCACATGAGCCTATGATGCACTAGAGGACGGCGTCCCTGAGGGATGGCGCACTTGAAGAGTCACATGTTTAATACAATCGCATCCAGGAACTGGTATTGCAGTCAAGACACGATGCTTGCCGAGAGAGATTATGCTGCATTTTGGTCAAGACAAAAAGGTCATTCAATTGGTTGCACTTTCTCAGCTGATCTACATAGTCCTGACACGAGCTTGCACTTGTTTATACATATGTGAATTGTGTGGCCCACAAACTACAAGTTGTTTCCTCTCTCTGGCTCGCTCAAAGAACTTCACGGCTCTCGTGGAGGTGCCAAAACGTGTCAAGTTGACATCGGAGTCCAAAATCATGTCACATGTCACATAACTCAAATGTCACAGAATGGCAATTATGTTGTGACATAGATATGCATAGTTAAACAGAACCCTCAAACCAGCTTCCCAATCAGGCCTTGGCATAAGCTACCGCTGCTGCCTGGCATTCGCTGCTTTCACGCACACATTTGCCTTAGTGGACAGATTTCAAAAAATCACACACTAAAAGGTACGTTTCACTGCAGCTGTGTCACAAAATTGTTCCACATTCATCACGACAATTCTTGACACCTCCTCCGAGACCAAATCGCCCATGTGACTCCATGGGGTCCACAGGGACATCTCAGCAATCCAAGAATTGCCTCGCTTTTTTTGGAGAGCGGGGATGTGAAATTTAGTTCTTAAGGGCGACTGTGTTTATGTATGTCGTGGGCAACTGTGTTTATGTATGTCGTGTTTAATAAATATATTGCCCGGGATGGGGGGGTAAGCCGCTCTAGGAAGGGGTAAGCTAATTAGTAGCTATTACGTACTGGACGCTCCCACCTAGGCCGCAGGATAGCTTGTGCTATTCATTTGGTTCCTAGATTTTTAGGGAAACTAGAGTGACTGACAAATTGTAACCTGTCTTAATTGTTTTTGATCCTTTTGCAATTGCCTGACCTCACAGTGCTGACAATACAGTGAAACACAGTTTTTGACATTAAAACAGGCAGCAGTTCCAAATGGGCATTCAGTGAGGCAAACATGACAGCAATTAAATGAGGGGAAAAACAGAACGTTCGTTCCCTTCTGTCTTACATTTCTCTATGGATGTTTCCTTTCAGAGGCTTCATTTAGTGAGCTGTGTTCTCTGCCTCGAAGCTTTCCTTTTGTCTTAGCTATTTACTCTTGAAGTCATCTTCTATTTCAATGTCTTCTCCCCCTTTGGAGGCACCCTCCAGTGAACAACTGTGTCCAGGTACCCTCTCAATGTCAAAACGAACAAAAATCCAAATACAGTAGAATCGTTTCCCTTCAAAGGCCATTGTCGTTGAACCTTTTCTTCAAAGACACCCTGTATCATTGTATCTACGAATGTCATCATTGTTCAACGGTTTCCTTCTTTATCAAGAGCACAACTTCTAACTCCTCTTTCAAGAACACCCCATTCCCTGTTGATTTGCACATGCATGTTGAAAGCATATTTTCTGTCTTAGTATCTGCTCCTTTCAAAGCACCCTCAAGTGAAAAACTGAGATATGTTCTTTCAATGGTACTCTCTAAAGACGTGTTTCTCTCAAGAAGAAAAACACATTCCAAATTCAATATAGAGAAATCAACATGCTGGGGTACACAAATAAGGAAAACCACACCAATACTAAGAGCAAAACAATTGTCCTGAAGTGTTGAGATTCAAGGGGTTAAGAGAACAAAATAACGTCCAGAAAAGAACAAAAACACATTGTTCCAGAATCAAGTCTTGGGAAGAAAAGGACAGAGGGCAAGGAACGCACAGAGAGTTGCAACAAGCTGCCAGCGAGGGGCCGCATCATTCAGCCCATTAGGATACGGAATAAAGCAAACAAAGCTGCAAATACAGTATACTACCAAACATTCAGGCGAAAAAAGAAAGACAACTGTCAAAGAAAAACATTGCCAAACCCAAACTCGGATAGCGAACAAATCACGAAGTAAGAACAGCAAAAACAAACACCTTGAACAAAATACAGCAAAGGAAAAGAACAATATTCTGAACATATTGCATTTGCACCCCCGCACTGCAACAATAGGGAAAAACACTTCAGCTTTCAAGAATCAACAACACGCACAAAAAAACAATTGTCTGGGGGGGGGGTTGTGCCTTAATTTAGAGGGGAAAGGAGGCAAGAGTCTTAGAATATTGATGCGTTGTGTTCTTGTGTTGATGTTTGACGTTTGTAGTAGGGGTTCCCATCCAAGAGCCTCAGAGTATTGATGTTTTTGATTATCTTTGTGGGGTGGGTGGCTATTTTGGTCTTTGCTGGATTGGCTATGCAAAAAACATGCATTTTACCTCTGCGTTCGACACATTGATGTGGACAACAAAATAACAACTTTTGAACAGGTCGCTCAAGCCCAAAGTGTGATTTTACCGTGTTTTGTTTATATATGTATATATAACAGCTAGAAACTTATTCCAGAGCGGCCCTTCCACATATTATGTTTCTGAACAAGCACTTTGTAGTACTGCGTGTTCACATCAAGAGCACACCTGATTCATGTTGAACCCTTCGAATGCATTTCGAGCTATGTAACCATTCCACGCCTTGACCCTGTGCGGCACCAGCAACAGCCAAGTCACAACCTTGAATTGTTGTTACTGGCTCACCTTCCTCGTCGCCATGGTAGTGCCTAACAATTGCTCAAAGCCAAGCTCGGCTGAGGCTCAATCCCAGCAACACCTCTCAGACCGATCCATCATCAACTAATCTAGAAAAATCATATTGGACAGCAAGGGTTCTTCAACAAAGTTTCCCACCCTCAGAATGGGAGAAGTTTCCTTTCAACCACCCACATGTTTTTGCCTGATCTAACATCCTCACCGAATCTCCCTGCTAAATAAGAAAACGTCTTTCCTTGCAGCTTGGCGTCAGCCGACCACTCTGCGCACAGTAGGCAGATGTTGCCCAATCCGCGGCGCAAAAGATTACGTCATCATTGCCCACAACTGTGTTTATTATGGCCCTCATCGCCAGTTTGTGCATCACTTGAACCGTCTGTCCTGAGTGACATGCAAAGCACGAATACACAGAGTCAATTAGGAGTTTACACTGGCGCGCTGACGGCAACAGCGGTCTTCAAACGTAAAAGCAGCCTGACATGGTCCAAGGCTCGACTTTCCGCAGGTAGCTGCTCAATGAATTTCAATTCATTCAAGCACCCACGGTAGCGTTCAAATTGCAATTCGCCTCTCAAATTACTTATATAAGTCAATTGCCATCTGTTGAAATGTTTAGGCTAGTTGGTAGGACTAGGCCCAGTCCAAAAAACGGATCAGTTCAAGAAACAATAATGAATTTGAGGATCAAAGGCACTTCATTTAGTAACCAATTGAAATCCACATTAAAAGCAGCCCCTCGCAACCTTGCAGCGACTGGGAGAGCAAGTCCAAGATAGGCAAATGATTTCCTGCTGACAGTGCCTCATTGCGAATCCGATACCTGGGCTTGAGATGGCTTGAGCACACAGAAGAATTTGAGTGAGACGAGTGAAAGTTGCACTTGTTCGTCAAGTCACCCGTGCTGAAGAAAGCGGATGATGCGTTGGCTTAAATGAAGAGGTATGTCGTTATAGATTAAATAGCGCCGCAAGAGTCCTCAATCGGTGGACAGAAGCTCATGGACGCCGGGAACAGCCTCTATAATATAAGCAAATCGTTGATGCAAGAAACAGTGTTATATAATACTGAGCAATGTGGACCTGGATCTTTTCTTTATGGCCAAAAACGCCTTACAGCAATCGAAGGCTTTCATGCTTCGTGTTCAGAAACTCTCCATGATTCCACGACCACGCATTCATGATCCATGTGCATGGTTTATGCACTCTCCCTCTGACATTTTGCCGTAATCCTTGCACACAGATCTGGCCCTGACAGCCTCAAGTCAAGGCCTTCCCTCCACCATCTCGAACTCTAAGTCATCACCCTCTGGTGGTGACTGACTTGACTGTAGCAGTGGTGCTTGCTCACCAATATCAATCCCTTTGGAAAAGGTGATTGCATCCGCGGTCCTGGCTGCATTGGTCCATCCAAACCTTGTGGGGTTTGATCTCCAACAGAAAGAGTAACATCACTTGCCACAGCGCCACGGTTTGCAGATCCACCTGATCCACCTCAGTGATGCCAGCTTGCCACGCTTGGATGTTTTGTCGCATCACAGGTCCTTGAGGTGTGGGTCAGCATGCATTGGCTGGGTCAGCATGAGATTCCTAGCTTTTGGAGCCCTGTGCTGATGAAGACTCTCTTAGAGCTCCGGACGGCAACTTCTTCACTTGATCGTCAATTACCAATTTCAACCGGTAAATGACACGAGCTCATCTTGGTTGGCCAGCCCTAGGCAATGTTGGGAAGGGCTGTTTGACAAGGGCAAAGAACCTTCCGGTGCTCCGTTCCCTTGAACTTTCCTTACTAGGAGCAAAGGGCCACGCTACTAGGGGCTCCTGGCATCGCTACTAGTAACAAGAACGCTACTAGGGGCTCCTGGCCATACTACTAGGAGCAAGGCACTACTAGGAACAACAACATTCCACTCATCTGCATCAGTCCATCTTTCACCTCGCCACTCATTTGTTCCTTGTGAGCCTGAGCAGTCCAGAAGTGCACATGGGCTCCAAGCTCAAACGCGGGGGTATCCTCGCCGCTGTGTTTCCATTTGCCACTCAAACCTTGATTCTCTCAATCAACCCACCGATGCCTTCTTGCCCCCGGGAAACATGAGAAGCACTGAAAGTTGTGGGCTTCCTTCATTGTCTCTCAATGATCAGGCGACTACCCTCTAGAAGTAGCGCAGCGTGACGATGCAGGCAGCATCGTTGCAGAGTGTCAGGAGAGACAATGGGCATGAAGCAAAACAGATCAAAACAGCAGACTCAGTGTCGGTAGCTGGGTGACCTTTGAAGGTGAAGTGCTCTTTCCAACCAAATCAAAGGCCACGCTCAGGTAGCAGTTCTTTTCCGCACACCAGGGCCCGTCTTCGGGCGTCTTTGTTCCGCGGCCTGTCAAGGCCTCAGGGTGCCACAGCTATGGCGGCACTTGCGCAACAGTAGCCCTCACGGCCTGTGAAGGCCAATGGCTGAAGGGTTCCCTTGAACCGGAAGGTTCACGGAAGTCACACATGTCCTTCACTGACCGGAAGCGAAACACATATGTTTAGCTGAGTTGTTCACATGCCCCGTGTGTGAGCTTCCGATCAGATCCAGCCACGTGCTCTCACCCAATCCTAACTCCTCAGTCTCAGGAGCATCCGCAGGCAGCCGCCGGGCCCGGAGCTTCTTTGCGGCAATGAACTTTGGGTCGTAGACCACATTCCACTGCTGACCTTCTTCTAAGAATCGCCGCATGCGATCTTGAGCTCCCACCTTCGTCAGCCCGTCGGCCAGCTGCATGTCCGAGTTGCACCATCGCAGCTCTGTGGCCTGGAGCTTCATGTTTTGCACCAAGGCCAAGATCTCCAAGGCCGTGTATTTCTCCTTGGAGGAGAAGGAAGGCATATCGCCCTGTTGGCAAGAGTCGTACAAGGCCTTCGCATCCGTGATGAGGAAGCCCCTCATCTTCTGAGCCGTGTCTCCTGGTCGATGGAGGTTCACCTTCTCTCCCATCATGTCCATCCACATCGTGCGGACGAACATGAGCTCCTGCTCTGCTTCGGCCAAAGCTTGGGTCTCTGCTGCCAGGCTGCTGCGGCATACTCGACGAAGCTTTGCACTACCCCAGCTGATCACATTCACCGGACCTTTCTGGCCCTTGTCCACCATGTCTTTGTGGATCAGTCCGATCAGCATGCCGCCGGTGCTGCCCAAATCAGCGCGATTGGCCAGTGCTGCGTCTGACCATGCCACTGCCACCACATCCTCGTCCTTCTCGGCGTAGAGGTTATGCATCTCCAAGGTCACATTCCTCTGGCCATAGAGCTCGCGGGTGAACTTGTTGATCTCTTTGAGGACCTCTCTTTCACCCTTCGGCAGGATCGACTGCAGGTGGCTGAGCTTCGCGGCATGATGAGGTGCCGTCTGGTAGACTCGCCATTGAGCTGATCCAAGCACAGCTCTGCATTGTCGTCGTTCAGACTCAGTGAGCTCCTTGGTGTGGCCATCTTCCTGGACCTGATTGAGGGACTCGCAGAACTCCTTCTGGTCCAGGATCCATCCACCATCGCTCTTTTGTGACAGGTGGACGCCACAATGCATCATGGGAGCGCATTCCCACGGTGACCACTTCAAACTTTCATGAAATCGCTGCAGGAACTCAGACCATTTGGGATGCCCTTCATCTCCAGTCATGAGAAAGTCGTCGACGTGGGCTCCTACGAGGCCAATGGTGACCTGTTTCTGCAGCCGAGGGTCATAGTCCGTGAGGCGCCACAGACATGGTTCAGTGGTGAGGCGCTCCATGTTCAGCTTCTTCAACACCTCATCTACAAACAAGTAGAACTCGCGAGGGGCGATGGTCAAACCATAGGCAGCTTTCAGGAACTGTACTGCCTGGCCTTCTTTCAGGCCCATTGCCTCTTTTAGTTCTTGGACTGGCTGTCCAAAAATCTGCCGGTGCTGCTGGCCCATCTCGCCCTGTAGGAAGGCGGTCTTGGCGTCGGCCTTGAGGAAGCCCCATTGCTTGTGTGTGCACATCGCAAGCATCAATTGTCGCCCCCTCCTTGACAAAGTTGGTGATCGAACGGAGACCAGACCAACGTCGGGATCTGTGAATCCCAAAACCACGAGGCGAGCTTTTGCCTTGATCATGCCCGGTGTGTCCGTTTGCTTGAACACGAGGACCCACCTCATGCGCATGAGCCTCTCAGTGGGCACTTTGCCAATGGCTGCACGGCAAACTTCAGAAGCCAACCAGTCATTGATCTCTAGGACCTTCGCTTCTCGCATGGCTTGCTTCTGGACGTTGTTGAGCTTCTGCCAGCTGACTTCAACTCCCTTGGCCATCTTCTTTGCCACAAATTTGGAAGGGTCTTTGACAATCGACCTCCATTCCGCCTCTGTCTTGGGCTCGGGGATGGTGACGGCAAAGACGTAGTCCTCAAAGTCTTCGGCCAAGAAAAGCTCTTCCATGTTGAGCTCTTCATCCACATAGTCAGCTTGCTCCTCATGAGGACTTGGTGTCTTCGGAGATGGAATTGCTGATTCTGCCATTGGAGAGTCATAGCCACGCAGCTCTTGTTGGCGAAGGAAATCTTGCCGCTGCACATGATACGGCCTCTCCATTCTCTCATGGCGAGCTCGGGCACGAAGAAAAGGTGCGTGTTGAAATAGTGGTCCTTGCTCGCCTGAGCCCAGGGGAAAGTGGTGTTGGTCTGCCATCAGCCTCTGTGCATCAAGATCTTCTTGGATCTCATGGCGAGGATCTAGTGGTGCTTCAGGTGCCAAGAAGGGCTCGTCTGAGCCTCGTCCCGGTTCATGATGCCCCGTTGGTGATGGTTCCGAGTGCCCCGTTGGTGATGGCTCCAGAATCTCAGCATCTTCTTCCTCCCTTGGTCTCTCTTGTGAGGCTGGTCTCTTCCTGGAGGCAGACTCTTCGGGGTTCAAAGTGCCAGTTCTTTGCCGCAGAGCTGCACTCATCTGTTGCCGCTGGGTCATGGTGTCATCATCGAACTCGCCCTTGGCAATGATGTCGGTGAGGTCGTTGAAGGTCCAGGGTGTCGCCAATGGTGTATGGCTCTCTGCAATCACTCTTTCTCTTTCCGAAGCGAAGCGCAACTGGCTCGCGTGCACCCGCTTCAATCTTCCACTGGCGATGATCCAAGCTACCAGATGAGGTTGCCGAACTTGTCCCTCATAGCTGGTCTTTGTTTCGAGAGCCAGGATGCGAGCAGGTCCATACCAGCGTGCAACACGTCTGCGAGGGATGTCCAGGAGATGATGAGATCTCTCCCGCTTATCAGCTGGAGGTTGGTACCTCTTGTAGTAGACCAAGTCGCCGGGATGGTAGCGCACCGGTGGCTGCATGCGGGTGTTGGCCGCTTGGTTGAGCTTGTGCTGCAGCGTCAACTTGCGATGAAGGTTCTCTGCTTGCAACCTCTGTCCCAGCCTATCCTTCATCTTCTCCTCGGTGCTCATCCCCGACCAGTAGGGAAGATCTGGTCCATCATGTAGGCGGTCTGCTTCAGTGGGGTTTCTACCGAAAACCCATTGCATTGGCGTGTAGCCGCCAACATTGCTCATGGTGTTGTGAGCCGCAATCATTGCCCATGTGGCAATCTCTGGTGGAGCCTCAGTTGACCTCAGATGTGCCATGAGCTTTTGTTTCAGGGTGCCAATCAACCTCTCAACTTGGCCGATGGATCCATGGTGCTCGGCAGGAATGGCCTCGATCTCAATGCCATGGCCTCCGGCCCATTCTTCCAGTTGTCGGCCTCGATGAGCACCTTCTTTGTCCAGTTTGATGCACTTGGGGTAGCCAAAGTACTGGATCCATCCTTGGTGAAGGGCCTGAAGCATCTCTGGTGTAGTTGGATTCCTGCTGGCAGAGACGGGGTGCTTGAAGAGGAAGTTCGCTGCCCCGTAGGTGGAAGCCTCATCCACGATCACCTGGAAGTGGAAGGTCTCGTCGCCCACTGTGAACTCCATATTGTCCAGCTGTATCACTTCCCA